AATAAATAAAAAGGCAATCTTAGAAAAGATGTTTAAGGCAATTTTCCTTATATAAGGAAAGTAAATTAACTCAGGAATATACCTTCTCTAAATTGAGGTGTCAAGTGCCATAAATAGGTTCATATTCAATGGCTCTACAATTTTTAAAATACTAAACTTATTTGGTGCATAATATGTATAGTCAACACATCACAATGACTATAGAAAGAAACTTTATTATGTTTACAAACAAAATTATGATTTTTATTCATAAGAAGTATAGCATATTGTTTAAGAGCATGAAATTCGGAGTGGTTATACCAGGTTTCAAATCCCTTTTGAACATTGTATGGGATCTTTGGCAAATGAATTATTCTTTCAAAACCTCATTTTCTTTACTTTTTTTTAAAAGAGAGCGAGAATTTTTTAATATTTATTTTTTTAGTTTTCAGTGGACACAACATCTTTATTTTATTTTTATGTGGTGCTGAGAATCAAACCCAGTGCCCTGCACATGCCAGGAGAGCACATTACCGCTTGAGCCAAAATCTGCAGCCCTCAAAACCTCATTTTCTAATAATAATATAAAGATAAGAAAAATATATGATAAATTCCTGACACAGAGTGAATCCTCAGTAAACAATAAAAATTAGAAACATAGGATTTAGGATTTAGGTAATATTGGGCTACAGAATACTTTAATGCTTACATGGAAACAAAGCAAATTAAAATGAAACAGTGTTAAATACCCAACATTAAATAAATACCCAACATTAAATCATGACTCAATGAGTTACATGATTCATCATCTATCCTAGTGTTAACATGAAAGCTTTGTTTGTAATCCTGTTTGGAGAAAGTTTTGTCAAGCCCAAAAATGGAATTGAAAAAATGGCCTCTGCCTAAACTTGTCAACTTGAAGGAAAGCAGGAAATCAATGATAGGACAATTGTCAGCATAGGATTATAGTGTTTAGCCTATTCTAAAGACAAATTAGAAGACTAAAAAACACACAGCAAAACATACATCATTGAGCCTAAGTCCAGAGAATAGTAAAGAGCAAGTCAAATTTGGTGCTGTGTTTCTTCGCTTTTCTTGTTTAGATTTTTGCCTTCATTAGCTTTAGGACTTGAAGGCACTGGGTAGCCCTGGAAATTGATGTGTGGGTGGCACAAGAATTTGGAAGATTAGTCAAAAGTCTGTACAGAGGCCGCCTAGGCATCTTGGCTTTCTCCTCTACCTTGTGCTCCTTGACAGCAGGCT